TGTCAGTCAATTAATAATATTTTTGCTACATTATATTTGCTGTAAAATAAATAATACATTATTTATTTGCGGGTCAATAAATTAAAGATAATTTAATTTATTATTTTATTTTTAGAATTGTTTTATTTATGTTAGATATTATTTAAAATATAACAAAAATGTAATCTTCAACCTTGACATTTGTAAATAAACACACTTTGTGATTTAATATTTTTATTATTTTATGTTTAGTTTGTTTATTATTATTTCATTTGTTGAACTTATTTTATATTTTAATTAAATATAATTTTTATTATTGTATAATTATTGTTAGTGTTACTCGTTCAGTGTTGCAATTTCAGCACAATGTTGTTTTCAACCTTGACATTTGAAAATAAACAGACTTGTGAGAGATTGAACAGCAATGACAATGTTAAATTTACCACGAAACTAAATGTTTATATTTGCAAATGTGATAAACATAAATGTGATTTAATATTTTTATTATTTTATGTTTAGTTTGTTTATTATTATTTCATTTGTTGAACTTATTTTATATTTTAATTAAATATAATTTTTATTATTGTATAATTATTGTTAGTGTTACTCGTTCAGTGTTGCAATTTCAGCACAATGTTGTTTTCAACCTTGACATTTGAAAATAAACAGACTTGTGAGAGATTGAACAGCAATGACAATGTTAAATTTACCACGAAACTAAATGTTTATATTTGCAAATCACATGCACATGATCAGCGGATCTAAGATGTAGTGACAATTTAGCACTTGGGCTGTCTCTCTGTTTCTCTCTGAAGTGAATGTCCCTGTTGCCAAAGTGAAAGGAAGTCCCTATTGACGTGTTGTATCCCAGAGGATACATTTCATTGGATTTAAATTGAAGTCATAGCATGTTTTCCTGAAGTGCTTTAGTGGCTTTATCAGCACAGTGACTTATCTCTGCCAAGTCATGCTCTGTTTCTCTGCATGTAACACTTTCCTGGCCCATTAACCAGAGCTTTCCTCTGCTGCTCTACACTGAGAAGTAGCAGTGGTTTTATCGATTCGCCCCTCTAGTTCACCTCTGACATTGTTTCTGGTGAACGTTGCGTGTTATATTTTTTGGTCGACTCCCAGAGTTTATCTCCGGACTCAGCTCTATGTAATCTTTGGCCGCGAAAAGAAGGATTTCCATCCAGAGTATCCAAAAGTCAGGCTTTCTTTTTCTGAACAACAACAAGCAGTCTTTCTTGCAAACATGGTCTCCCTCTTTCTCTCTCGTGTCCTCCAGCGTCTTTAATTGTTACCATGTGTCAAGGGCTAGCCAGTCCGCTGGAATGTTCAAGCACACACTCACTCCCTCCAGAGATTTGACATGCACCGCTGTGGTGCTTTCCTCAATTTGTCCCACTCGGTTTATTAATATCTCTGGTAATGAAAGCCTAAAATGTGGTGTTGCTTTATTGCAAACTGTTGCATATCGAGGCTGCAGATGGCCCAGGTGCATCCTGGGTAGGGCGGATATCAGGTGTTTGTGAGGAACGGTTGTGCAACAGCTCTTAGTTCCTTTGTTTGAATGTGGGAAACTCAACATGTGGTGCAAAACAAGGCCGGTATTTATTTCTAATTGGTTGTATTTGGATTATTAATCACTCTAAATTACAAAAAGACACTTTGAGGTCATACGCAAACTATTAGAGAATTATTTTAAAGGTTTGTAGCTTTGGATGCTGCAATGATTGAATTCAGTTTCAAGTTCATGACAGCGAAAGGCCTCACAATATCAAAAGGGTTTATTCAGGATATCTTTTGACACCCGCTGTGGAATCTTCTGTTACTGTATAAATCCAACCCCATCCTCAAACTCCAGGACCATGTGGGAGATCAGAAAATGATGGAAACCAGACGAGGGAAAAAAGAGCGAGTCGCTTTTGATTATGAATGGGGTGCTGGAAGGCTGACTGGGGCTTCATCTGTGCTGTAAGTGATATCTGAACCTCTCCAATGTTTTCAGCTGCTTTCGGTGCTTTTTGGCTACGTGGTTACACGTTGTAGAACATGCTCTTTTGTTTTAATGCACGTCTGAGTTTCAGAATCGACTGGTTGCTCAACTTAAAGAGGTAGTTTGACCAAAAATAAAAATTCTGTCATGCTTTAATCATTCATCAAATGTTGTTCTAAAGCTGTATGACTTTATTTAACCAAACACCAAAAAAAAAAAGAAGTTTATATACTGTAAATACATATAGAGGTGAGTAAACAATGACAGAATTTAATTTGAACTGTTCTTCTGTGGAACACAAAAGAATATTTTGAAAAATTTTGTTTTGGACCTCATAGACTCATAGGAAAAAACAATATTTGGAAATATCTTCAAATAAAAAAAAAGTCATAGAGGTTTGGAATAACACATGGTTGAGTAAATGATGACAAACTTTTTATATTTTTAGGTGGACTGTCCCTTTAATGTGTTATTTACCACCTTTTTAGATAGTCGGACTTTCAAAAATAAATTAATGGTTTTATTCAGCAAGGATGCACTGCATTTAAAAGTCACCATAAATAAATTTATAATTGTACAAAACATTTCTACTTTACATAAAAGCTGTTTAAAATGTCTGTTTTAAACAGTACTTTACATAAAAGCTGTTTAAAAAAAATGTTCCATGGTTTCCACAAAATTAATAAGTAGCAGAACTGTTTTCAACATTGATAATAGTCAGAAATGTTTCTTGAGCAGCAACTCAGAATATTAGAATGATTTCTGATGGATCATGTGACACTAAAATACTGGAGTAACGATGCAGAAAATTCAGCTTTGCTATCACAGGAATAAATCAAATTCTAAAATATATTTAAATAAAATAGTTTAAATTGTGATAATATTTCACAATATTACTGTTTTTACTGTATTTTAATGGAATTTAATTTTATATAATTTTTTATATTTTATTTTATATTTAATTTAATTTAATTTATTTTAAAATATCTCACTGACCCCAAACTTCTGAATAGTAGTGTACTGTAAGTATGATCTGTTTATATAAATACATATAATACAAGTATTTATATACAATTATATAAATACAATTTAATTTTTTTGGAATTATTTGAATTACAGATAGAACAACTATTGTGCGATATAATATGACTAGAGTAAAAATTAAGGTTACCAAATTAACTAGGATGAAATTTATGGAAACAATCACATTTTTTCCTGTGATCATATACAGGAGTGACAGAGACGTGCATGTGTCTTTTGAGACTTCCTGTCGTTGGAATGTCACCAGTGCTTAATTTGTAAATGAATAATTGCCGGATCCAAAACAGCAATTAAAAGGTGCTATGACCGACACTGAAAATACAACTTAAGTTTTCCCGTAACATTCAATGACGCCACTAAACGGTGATGCCATAATTATAAGAGAGCATCGTTCACAAGTTTCTGCATTAACCTAACTAGGGCACAGCTTCAAACCCTGGGTCAAAAATGGGTTGCCAGGATGATTTTAGGAAAATGTATATCTAAGATACATATGAACGCGCGTGAAGTACAAAACCTCTACATTATAAATAATAGTTTCATTCAAATACATTGTATATGGAAACATTATGGATTTGTGCCGAATGAGAGGTACGTGAGCCCAATTAACGCCTGGTACTTTCAGCTTTGTTTTGGTTTCTTTAGGTTTATATATTTTTTATTTCATTCTTGTTCTGTTCTGAATACCGTTACATTTATATGATTTGTTTTGGAGTGAGCTATACTAACGTATAGCTATGTTTATATTGTTTATAATGTTTATACGTTATAATATTTCACTTTATTTGGTATTATTTCTGGCATTTCTGGTATTAATACACTCTCTCCAAGCGTTCTGCTGCTCACAAAACAATAAGCAGTAAGCACCAATCAATGAGAGCAAGTTTGAACTTAAGAAAGCTGACTGGTCACGGTCAAAAAATATGTTGAGGACCAATACATAACCTCCAAATACTACATAAATCTGCGCTCGCTCTCATATGCACGCACGCACTGTCACAATCTAATGCCGGATCCTTAAAAACAATTACCGGAACGCAAAAATCCAAAATCTGACATTTTCCGGAATAGGATCCGGCAGGATCTCTGCAGTAACGGAGCGGCTGTTGGGGTTAGCGGTAGGGTCAGAGGTCAAGATCATGACTGGTTTGCTGATTTGACAGCCATGAAAGTCTCTAACAGGTGTTTAACAACAGCTATGACTCCTGTGCCCTCTGAAATCTCTCTTTTTTTTTAAACAGTCACTGCAACATATTATTCTAAGTCACTCTGTCAGCTCTTCGTGTGTTTTTTTGCAGTCTAAAGTCTTTGGCAGACATAAAGCAGTTCTTCTGTATTGTGTTATCTGTAAGGCTGGGAATCAGATGGCCCAAGTGCACTCTGGGGTGTTTGGTGTCAGCAGTGTCAGGCACAGAGGGCTGTCAGCGGCGTGATGATGTCATCAGCTGCCTGACCCCGAGTTGCCAGATTGAGTCAGACAAGAAAATCCCTCATCGTCCACATGGTCAAATGTCTTTGCCTCGCTCATTTTCTCCAGCCCACACACAGAAATAGACTGACTTAAACCCTGAGGATTAAACAGAGCTTTATAAATGGACAAATGACTAATATCATGATGTAAAGGTATTTCCCTAGAATTAATAGTTTTAGTAATAGTGATGCTAGCCTTAGCAAATGCCACTGATATTTTCCATCCATTTGATTGTGGTTTAGTGGAAGAGGTCTTCACCATTTGAACTTTCCAGTAGGCTTGCCACGATAGACGGTGCTGACGGTGATACCGGTGTTAAGCCGCAACACCGGTTACGTCACCTGCCCACCGCGTCACCGACCCCCACCGTTGTTTTGATTTTTTATAGTAATAAAAATCATTTAGTTCAGTAAAAGAACAGACACTACAATTAAAAACTGAACGCGGCTGCTCAATGCAGGTGAACGACAGTTGCATCACAGATCAGATTTCATTTCTCCAGTGAGGAGAGTGAGTCGAGCTGACAGACAAGACGATCGCGGATGATTTAGTTCCGAAACGAAATGCAAAGGTGCCTGTATGGCAATATTTTGGATTTTGAAAAGCCGTTTATCTAAGGTGATTTTGGAAATTTTTTTAAACATTCGTTTCTTATTTAATTGGTTCCACATTGTTTGCTGATTTTTACTTTATTTAAACTTTGTGTCATTTATTTATTTTATTTGACATCATGTGTGTTTTGCTAAT